CAGGCCCCCTTTTTATCTCTCCTCAGAGCCGTGTGGAACTCCCCAGGGGAGCGCCCACAAGCCACCTAAAGCTAAAGCCCCTGCTCCAAACCATTTGGTTATTGTAATAAGGTGCCACAAGACCACGACAAACCCTTTTTGTTACAAGTGTATCTATATGTTGTCAGGGAAAGAAACCTCGGTGGTTATGAAGGATTTTTTGTCGGTGCAGACGGAAATATTAGCCACTTTACAATCCTTCAAAATGGCCCTGACAGCTAAGGAGGTGGATGCCTGATCTTCCAGGGAGGGATTTTCTTCCCAGGAGGGAGTTTGGTCGAGGAAGCAGTGAGGAGTGTAGGTCCCTCGTCCTCTCAGCTCATGGAGGAGGAAGACTTAGAGGAGGCAGAAGTTTCTGGCCAAAGCTCCCTGGAGGAAGGGGAAGATTTGGATGGTGCTATTGTAGCTAGCAAGTAGTCTAGACTGGGTTAGACACCTCTTTGCTGTGGAGGATATGGAATGGTTCATAAGGGCTATTTATGCCTCAGAGGACATTCCAGAACCACCAGCGCAGATCTCAGCCCAAGACTAGATGTATAGAGGGTTGGGAAGACCGCAAGCTAGAGTACTACCCCCTACACCAGATATCGTCTTGAGAGATTTGAAGGAGCCTAACAGAGGTGTTAAAATTGAAGACCTGGAAAAGGCAGTAGCCCTTTGGGGAAGAAGAGGAGAAGATCCTCAAAACCCCCAAATTGGATGCAGCGTTATCGCAAGTGTCTAAGAAATCTGACCTGTCCTTTGAGGATTCAGGTAACCTCAGAGACCAGATAAGAACGTAGGTCGGAGACGCTGCTGCGTAGGGCCTGGGATGCCAATGCCGCTACTATGTCCCCAGCCCTGGTATCCGCCTGCATCGCAAGAAATGCCGATGCTTGGATGCACAGAGTGATTGACCACATCGTGCGGGGTACAAAGAAAAAAGCGGAAACCTAATCAGAAGTAGTCTTAGATTCCCTGGAGGTGGTGGGTAAGGCAGTCGCCTACCTGGCAGACGCTGGTGTGGTGATGGTCAGGACATCGGCTAAGACCACAGCCCTCCTTAACTCAGCCCGAAGGGCAGTGTGGGTTAAAACCTGGGAGGGTGATCAAATGTCAAGAGGCCATCTTTGTGGTTTACCCTTTGATGATTCCGTCTTATTCAGCCCACGATTAGACCAGGTGTTATCTGGAAAGGGTAAGAAGTTCCCTACAAAAGCCAAAAAGGATAAGGGGGAAGAAGTTTTTTTTTCGTGCCCTCCTTAATCAGGGCCAACGAAGGTTTAGGAAGGACTCCCGTAAAAAAATGGGCCAACAAAGAGAGACAAGAGGGAAGTTTTTCCTGGCTCAAAACCCACCAGCAAGGACCCCAAATGACATAGACCTCGGGGTGGGCGAAAGGCTGTCCAGGTTCTTTCGTCAATGGGGAAAGATTATGGACATCCCTTACATCCTGCAGCTAAGGGAGGGGTACCAGTTGGAGTTCTCCTCTCTCCCACCTCATACCTTTTTGTTCTGACATCCCACCAGAGACAAGACAAGGGCAGAGGGTCTCTTGGAAGGGATTAGAAATCTAGCGGACCAGGAGGTAATCGTTCCTGTGCCAGTGGACCAATGGTTTCAGGGATTTTATTCCCACCTGTTCGTGGTCCCATAGCCTTCAACTTTCTCAGGTTTATGATTAAGTGGAAATTCCCTGAGCGGTTTCCTACCGTACAAGAAGTTCCGCATGGAAAGTATCTACAGTGTACGGAAGCATCTGCTCAAAGTTCTTCATGGCCACTCTGGATCTCAGGAATGCCTACTTCCACGTTCCCATTTCCCCGGAATACCAAGCCCTTTTAATCTTTGCCACCTTCATGGAGTAGGGTGTTGGTCATTGGCAGTTCCGAGCTCTCCCTTTTGGACTAGCGGCAAGTCCAAGAATATTTACCAAGGTCTTGGCAGAGGTAGTAGCCTTTTTTGCACCTTCAGGGAATTTCCCTCATTCCCTACCTAGATGATCTACAGAGTCTCATGGCACCAAGTCCTGAGAGACTAGGAAAAGGTGTGCCTCACCTTTGAATCTTTGGGGTGGATTGTCGATTGGGTGAAGTCCTTATTGACTCTCTCCCAAACCAAGGTGTTCTTGGGGTACATAGAGTCCAGAAGCTATTTCTACCTCAAGAAAACATCAAAAAAGTAGTGCAGACAGTTTCCATCTTGATAGCGGTTTCAGACTGCTCCCACAGACACATTATGAGAGTTTTAGGTCTCATGAGTGCCTGCATTCTGGCCTTGGAGTGGGCACACCAGGGAGCTGCAATTCTTCCTCCTATCCTCCTGAAACAGGAAAGAGGAGTCGCTGGACGAGAGGGTTACCCTCCCAGAGAATGTAAAGATCTCTTTGGAATGGTGGCTGACGCCCCAGTTTTTGAGGGCAGGGAGACCCTGTGTGTAGAGGGACCCAGTTTGGGTAACCACGGACACAAGTGAATGGGGCTGGGGGGCTCCTCTAGAGGACCAACAATCCCAAGGCCTGTGGGATTCTCTCCAAAAAGGGACATCCTCCAACTGCAGAGAGCTGTTGACAGTAGGTCAGGTCTTAAAAATCTTTCCATATAGGATAAGAAAAAGGAGAAGTCTTCAAAATTCTGTCAGACAATGTCAACAGTGGCATACCTGAATCATGAGGAGGGGCACCAGATCCTGGAATCTCCTGAACCTAGTTCAAGAGATTCTAGGGTGGACAGAGAGCAGAGTGCTTTCGATATCGGCAGTCCACATAAAGGGGTAGGTCAACACGAAAGCAGACTTTCTCAGCCGACAGCTAGTGCACCAGGGAGAGTGGGAACTCAATCCCGAGGTCTTTTTTCACAAAAGTCAGGTCTTTGGCTGCCCGGAAATGGACCTTTTTGCCGGCAGAAGAAATATGAAGGTGAAACGGTATTTCACCTTTGCTCGGGAACAGGGATCTGAAGGCCTGGACGTGTTGGCACAAGTATGGGATTTCAGACTGGCATACGCCTCCCCCAAGTGTTCGGAGAGAGTAGTAGATATTCTCCTCCTCAGTAGAAAACAGGTCGCCAGAAAAATATACGCCAAGGTGGTAAGGGTGTTTTCCACTTGGTGTCAGGAACAAGGGGGTTTCCTTCCCGTGGTCCCGGTGATCCTGGACTTTCTCCAAGCAGGGATGGATAAAGGTATAGCAGTAAGTACCCTAAAGGTGCAGGTGGCGGCCCTGTCGGTCTTTCTGGATCAAAGGCTCGCATCGGAGCCCCTGGTTAGGAGATTTCTGAGGGCCAGGGAAAGAGTAACCCCAGTTAATTTACATGATTTTCCAGTTTGGAATCTGACCTTAGTATTAGAGGCTTTGACCAAGCCACCATTTAAGCCAGTGGCACAGATTTCAGTTAACGATTTATCCTTTAAGTTAGCCATCACAATGGCAAGAAGGATAGGCGACCTACATAGCTTGTCTATCAAGGAACCCTTCCTGGTGATCTTAGAGGACAGGGTTGTGCTTAGACAGGACTCTGTATTTAGCCAAGGTTGCTTCAAGGTTTCACAGGACACAGGAGATTGACCTACCGTCTTTTGTTCAAAAACCTAAGAATGAGGTGGAAAAGTTTTTTTTTTTTTTTTTCATTTTTTTTTTTTTTTTTTTTTTTTTTTTTAAGATGTCAGGCGGTGTTTGTTGACATATTTAAATAGAGTAAGTGGCTTCAGGAAGTCAAGTCACCTTCTAATTTTGTTTAGCGGTCCAAAGAAGGGACAGCTGGCATCTAAACCAACAATAGCTAGATGGATCAGACAAGCCATCTCCTTAGTTTATGAGCAATCAGGAGTCTCAGTACCCTCTAACCTGAAGGCTCATTCTACTAGAGAGCTAGTGACCTCTTGGGCAGAAAGGGCCGGAGCTTTGATTGAACAGATCTGCTGAGCAGCCACATGGTCAAGCCAGGACACCTTTGTGAGACACTACTGGGTAGAGCTGTTGTCACCGGAGGGACCTGGCATTTGGCAGGAAAGTATTACAGGCAATAGTCCCGCCCAAAGGTAGGCCAGAGTTCCTTATCGTCTCAGGTGTGCCGTCCTGGAAGATGCTTAGAGAAAGTACCAGGTGCACTTACTGGTAACGGTGTTTTTGGGAAATCTTCTAGGATGGCAGGCCTGGTTTCCCACCCATGTCTGGTGTTGGTTATTTCAAGTCAGATTGCCTTTCATGCACCAGGGTGTGGAAATACTCTTATTTAACTGAGGAGTGGAGGGAAGGAAGGTGAATTTAAACACTGTCAGTTGTTGATTGTGTTTGCTGTCAGGTGGAGCTAGTCAGCTCTCAGGTGTGCCGTCCTGGAAGATGAATAGAGAAATAAGGTTTTTGATATTGTGGTATGACTGTTTTGTATTTTTAATGTCTTGTTTTTCTCTAATCCTGGAAGATTTCCTAGAAACACTGTTACCGGTAAGAGTAACTGGTACTTATCACAGCGCCATGTCCACATCCCCGTTCCCCCTGTAATAACTCCCTTCCCCTTTGGGAAAAAACAAACCACAACCCACGCACCCTCCCCTCAAGAAAAACAACTACCACAGTAAATACAAAGCCTATATCAGACCTGTATGTGCTCTATATAACTCGGCAGTCAGTTATCAAGATAAGTATCCAGTATGCCACAATAGGCACTGCATTGTAAATACAAGCATATCAAGTAAGACGGCAAGATAAATGGGTATGTTCCAACTCATGCAAGGACCGGTCTTAAATGACAGGCAGTTATTCGCCATCAAGTAAACATTGTAATGGGTTCTAGCACTTGTTCAATTCATGTAATGGCTAGAAGAAATTTCCTTATCTTTCATACTTGAGAAGATGTCACCCTTTTCGTCACCAGCCTATGGAATCTGACTGCTCAACCATGATTATTTTAAATGTAGTATTAGAAAATGCTCCTGTCTTCTGGTCAGAATTTTCAGGTGACCTATTTTCATTCAATTATTAGGTTGGAATGGATAGAGCATTGAGCCAACTTTCAGTGCCACTGGGACAGCTGCGTGAAGAAGTATTGGTAGGTGCAACTTATTTGTGTTTTTCTTGTATACATCCAGTCATCGATTTGGACATGACCATTAGTAGTGTGATACATCACAGGAGATAGAAGAGAGTAACAGTCTAACTTAAAGGCTAAGTGCATGCTTACAATATGTTACACACATTTATTGCTGTGGCTGTATGGAGCCCATTCATTCACAGGAATCTCTCAATGAATAAACAAATCTCGTCTGCTACCCTGACAGTCAGCTTGTAGTTCTCAATGGACTATGAGTGCACTGGTCACTGAAAAAAGAACAGTATTTTTGACTTTTTGCTATAAAACATATCCAATAAAAAAATCTAGTTTCATAAATTTAGGCCAAAGTGTATTCTACTACGTCTTTGCAAAAAAAAAAAAAATCCCAATATGTGTAAATTAATTGACTTATGTGAAAGTTATAGCGTCTACAAATGGCGGTGTGTATATATACTGGAATTTTTATTTTTTATTTTTTTTTATACTAGTAATGGCGGCGGTCAGCGACTTATAGCGGGACTGCGGCTGGCATTCTGACACTGGATGGGAACTGACTATCAGCCACTGACATCCCCATTGACACTAATACAATGATCAGTGCTGCTGACACTGGGCAGGAAGGGGTTAACATCTGGGACGATCAAAGGGTTAACTGTGTGCTGTGTGTATTTTAGTAGAGACATGCTGCTTTGTATTTCTTTGATGTGTAGAGTGTTTGTGTGGTTTTTGTTTTTTTTTGTGTTTGTTTTTTGTGTGTGTGTTTTTGTGTTTTTTTGTGTGTGTGTTTTATTTTTTTTTAATGTGTTTTTTGTTTTTTTTTTTTTTTTTGTGTTTTGTGTGTTTTTGTGTTTGTATAATGTTATGTATGTATGTGTTATTTTTTGTATATTATATATATTACAGGTGAAACTGTAATATATATCATAGAATATCATGCAAAAGTTTTTTTTTTTCAGTAATGTTTTTTTAAAAGGTGAAACTATTATATGAGACTCATTTTTTTGCAAAGCAAGATAGTTCAAGTCGTTTTGTTTTTAATTGTTTTGATTATTTTTTACAGCTCATGAAAACCCCAAATCCACAATCTCAGAAAATTTTTTTGTTATTTTTGCAATTTAAAACAAGGATTGTACATAGAACAATATCGGACCTTGAAAAGTATTTTTGCATTTGTACTCAGTGTTTTTTTTTGGGTTTTTTTTTTTGCAGCAATTACTGCCTCAATGCGGCGTGGCATCAAAGCTATTTTTTTTTTTGTTTTTTGCTGAGATGTTATGGAAGCTCAGGATGCTTCAATAGCGACCTTCAGCTCTTTTTTTTTTTTTCGGTTCATGTCTTTTTCTTTTTTTTTGGCAATGCCCCATAGATTTTTCTTTTTGGGGTTTTTTTTTTTTTTTTTTTTGTTTCTTCAAGCACAGTAACCCCATGGTCCTTAAACCAGGTTTTGGTGCTTTTGGCAGTGTGGACAGGTGCCAAGTCCTGCTGGATTTTTTTTTTTTTTTTTTTTTTTTCGTTTTTGCGGAAGGAAGCATGAAGTGCTCCAAAATCTCCTGGTAGACGGCTGCGTTGACCCTGGACCTAATGAAGCACAGTGGACCAACACCAGCAGATGATTTGGCTCCCCAAATCAACACAGACTGTTTTTAAACCTCACACTGGACTTCAAGCATCTTGCAGTGTGTGCCTCTCCTTTTTTCCTTTACCCTGGGTTTTTTTTTTTTTTCCAAATGAGTTGCAAAAGTTGCTTTCATTTTTTTTTTTTTTGGACCACTGAGCAACAGACCAGGTCTTTTTTTTTTTTTTTAGCCCAGGTAAGACGCTTTGACGTTTGTTTTTTTTCAGGAGTTTTTGACATTTTTTTTTTTTTTGTTTTTTGAAGCCCATGTCCAGGATCCGTCTTGTGGTGGCTTTTTGAAGTCCACTCCTTGTGAAAGTCCCCAACACTTTTGAATGGACTTTTCCTTTTTTTCCTTTTTTTTTTTTTTTTTTTTTTTTTTTTTTTTTTGCTGGCTTGTGCACCTTTTTTTTTTGTTTTTTTCCCTTCCGCATTGTTTTGTCTTTTAATTTTTGCTTTGATACAGTTTTTTTTGGGAACATCCAACTTCTTTTGCAATTACCTTTTTTTTTTCCCTTTTTATGAATGGTGTCAATGATTTTTTTTTTTTTTTTTGTCAGGTCAGCAGTCTTTCCCATGATTGTGATTCCTACTTTTTTTTTTTTTTAAAGGCTCAGTATTTTTATTTTTTGCCGGTGTTATGGTTTAATTAGTGATTAGAGTGGGACACTTTGAGCCTAGAATATTGCACCTTTTCACAATATTCTAATTTTCTGAGATTTTTTTGGGGTTTTTCATTTTTTTTGTTTTTGTAAGCCATAATCATCACAATTATTACAAATCACGGCTTTTTTTTATCTTGCTTTGCATGTAATGAGTCTTTCTCATATATTAGTTTTTTTTTTAAGATGCATTTTTAACTGAAATTTGAATTTTTTTTTTTTTTTTTATTCTTTTTTGTTTGTTGTTTTTTTTTTTTTGTATATGTGTGTGTGTGTTGTTTGTGTGTGTGTGTGTGTGTATTGTATGTATGTAAATGTGTATGTATGTATGTATGTATATATGTGTGTATGTATATATATGTGTAATAGAAATCCAACTGACCCAACAGTCATGCATGCTGCTGATTCTGTGTAATTGAATCACTAATTGGAAGGGGCATGTTCAAAATAATAGCAGTGTGGAGTTCTATTAGTGAGGCCATTCATTCTTTGAAAAACAGGTGGCAATTATTGCCCTTATTTAAGGAAGGAAGGCAGCAAATGTTGTACATGCTGGTTACAGTGCATTTCTCTCTGAAATTCTGAGGAAAATGGGCCGTTCCAGACATTGTTCAGAAGAACAGCGTACCTTGATTAAAAAGTTGATTGGAGAGGGGGAAACATATAAAGAAGTGCAGAAAATGATAGGCTGCTCACCTAAAATGATCGCAAATGCTTTAAAATGGCAACCAAAACCTGAAAGACGTGAAAAACTACCATTCAAATGGATAGAAGAATAGCCAAAATGGCAAGGACTCAGCCAACAATCAGCTCCTAGAAGATCAAAGAAGGTGTAAAGTTTCCTGTGAGTACTGTTACAATTAGACGCCAATGTGAAGCCAAGCTATCTGCAAGAAGCCCCCGCAAAGTCCCACTGTTGAAAAAAAAGACGTGCTAAAGAGGTTACAATTTCCCAAAGAGCACATTGGCTGACCTAAAGAGAAATGGCGCAACATTTTGTGGACTGATGAAAGTAAGATTGTTCTTTTTGGGTCTAGTGGCCGGAGACCGTTTGTCAGACGACCCCCAAACACTGAATTCAAGCCACAGTACACTGTGAAGACAGTGAAGCATGGTTGCGCAAGCATCATGATATGGGGATGTTTCTCATACTACGGTGTTGGGCCTATTTATCGCATACCAGGGATCATGGATCAGTTTGAATACATCAGAATACTTGAAGAGGTCATGCTGCCTTATGCTGAAGAGGAAATGCCCTTAAAATGGGTGTTCCAACAAGACAACGACCCCCAACACACCAGTAAATGTGTAACATCTTGGTTCCAGACCAACGAGATTGACATTATGGACTGGCCAGTGTGCAATCCCTGGATCTTAATCCAGTAGAAAACATGTGGGGATGACATAAAAAAATGCGGTTTCTGAGGCAAAACCAAGAAATAGATAACTGTGGCATGTAGTCCAATCATCCTGGGCTGGAATACCTGTTCACAGGTGCCAGATGTTTGGTTGACTCAATGCAACACAGATGTACAGCAGTTCTCAGAAACAGTGCTTATATAACTAAATATTAAGTGATTCAAAGGAAAGTAAAATCTTCAAACATTTTTCAGTTTATATAGTGAATGTTTGAGTTTGTAAAGAAGAATACAAACACTGCTATTTTTTTGAACAGTCTCTAATATTCACTTTTTCTTCAACTTTTTTAGAGGAACACAAATTTTATATATTTTTCTTCATGTTTTGATTTGGAATAGAATGTGTAGTGTTCCCAATGCATTTGTGTGTATGGAAATAAAAGCTATTAGAAGGATTTTGAGCTTTATTCACTTTTTTCAACACACTGCTATTATTTTGAACACAACTGTGTGTGTGTGTGTGTGTGTGTGTGTGTGTGTGTGTGAGTTCTCCCACTTAGAAATCATGGAGGGGTCTGAAATTCACATAGTAGGTGCATTCCCACTCAGACAGAATTTAAAAACAAAATTCAGGAAATCACATTTGTATGATTTTTTTAACGAATTTATTTGTCTTACACTGGTGAACATAAGTATTTGAACACCTAAGAAACAGCAAGAATTCTGGCTCTCAAAGACCTGTTACTGTGCCTTTTTAAAAAGTCCACCTCTACTCCACTCATTAATCTAACTTAGTAGCACCTGTCTGAGCTCTTTAAAGACAGCTGTCCACCCCACAGTCAGTCAGACGCCAACTACTACCATGGGCAAGACCAAAGAGCTGTCAAAAGACACCAGAAACAAAATTGTGGACCTCCGCAAGGCTGGAAAGGGCTATGGGGCAATTGCCAAGCAGCTGGGTGAACATAGATCAACTGTTTGAGCAATTGTTAGAAAATGGAAGAGGCTAAAGACGACTGTCAGTCTCCCTCAGACTGGGGCTCCATGCAAGATCTCACCCTCGTGGGGTATCACTGATAAGAAAGGTGAGGAATCAGCCCAGAACTACAAGGGAGGAGTTGGTCAATGACGATAGCTGGGACCACAGTTTCAAAGGTCACTGTCGGTAGAACACTACGTCGTCATGGTTTCAAATCATGCATTGCATGGAAGGTTCCCCTGCTCAAGTCATCACATCTCCAGGCCCGTCTGAAGTTTGCCAATGACCATCTGGATGATCCAGAGGAGGCATGGGAGGAGGTCATGTGGTCAGATGAGACCAAAGTAGAACTTTTTGGTCTAAACTTCATTTGTTGTGTTTGG